TATATATATATTGTTACGTCCGTCCCTGTGTACTTTGTCTCTGCAAGTCGTCTGCGGTAGTTAATCCTGAATTTACTGCTCCCGTCTCTAAGAGTTGATTCCCGAACACGTCGCTAAGGGAGTTGTTTAGAAAACAGCAGCCGACATTGAGAGAGCCGCCATCTTGAGTTTCGCGACGGTGGTGATTCCGAGCGGACGTATTGACTGATTTACGAGACTATCTGTCCTGTGCTTTGTGTTCTGTGTTCTAAGCTGTTATTAAAGTTCCTTTTGTTCTCTTTAATAAAAGCGTTCTTTTATTACGACGTGGAGCGCGAGTGTGAGTTGTGTGTTACGCGTTTCAATATACTATATCGAAATCGTCGCGCGAGCGTAACATTTCGGGGGCTCGTCTGGGATCGAAAACGCACAACGAGCTATGGCTACATTTGAACAGCGAGATTTACCAGCTGGAGTGTCAACACGCAAAAGATTTCGAGCTGCGACTCCGCTCCGTACCGCAGGGTCAGAAATGACTAAGGATACCACGACACAAGCTGCGACATCAGGACTAACTTTGGAGAGAGTAACTCTTCAGTCTGCGCTGCGAGAGATACGACAGCTTCGCGAGGAGCGTTTGAAAGAGCGAGCTGAGTTTGAAGCGCAACTTCAGCAGCGAAATGAGATACTTCGCGGAATGGAGGAAAGAATGCGTCAAATGGATGCTAACTTCCAGTTAAGTCATTCCGATAATAGAAGTAGTTTTAGAGCGGATAGTTTTGAGGAAATCAAAGCGCGTGAGGAAATCGGAGCGCGAGAATCGATTAATAAACAGTTAAGCTATAAATTAAAGTCGGATATTTTTGATGGAACTGTTCCATTGAGGGAGTTCTTTTCACAATTCGAGTTGATCGCGCGAGCTAATCAGTGGAGTGACGCGACGAAAAATGTAGCATTAATATCATGTTTGAGAGGGAAAGCGCGGGCGGTTTTGGAATGTATAAATGATATGGAGAGTCTGGATTACGCAGAGTTAAAATCTAAATTAGAGTTAAGTTTTGGAGAGGGATATTACTCTCAATCTTATTATTCACAATTCACGAATAGAAAACAAAAATCGGGAAAGAATGAGGCTACTTTGGGTTCCGATATTGAACGTTTATCTCAATTGGGGTATCCGGAATGTTCTCATCAAGTCCGCGAAAAGATCGCTTGTGCACAGTTTGTCACGGCTTTATCAGACAGATTTATGAGAAAAATTTTACAACTGAAAGGTGTTATTTCCTTGAAAATGGCTGTACAAAGAGCGATAGTAGTAAAGTGATCCAAGAAAGTAATTTTGAAAGAAGAAAAGATTTTAATAGTAATAATAATTATTAGGAGTTCAATGAAGAAGATGCGGTATGAAATATGCAGAGTTTGGTTGAAAAAATTGCGGTGTGAAACATACAGGTTTGGATTTGTCCGAAGATTTCCTCCCTTCTTGAGAAACGGCAGCATGGGATATTTCTACAAGTCGGGCGAGGAACAGAGAACAAGTTTTGCAGTGAGAAAATTTATCGGAGTCGACTGGGACCTGAATATTGGTGCTCTGTAACTTGTGGCAGCAGCTCAAGGTAGAGCAAGAAACTGATTTGGTGCCCTGAAGTTGACGAGAATGAAGAGGATTTGATGATATCCTGTGAATTCCTGGAAAACGTGTGATTGGAGCCAAGTAATGACGCTCGATAACCTGCAGCAGCAGCTCAGAGTAGAGCAAGAAGTCATTGTGGCACCTTAGATTCTTTGCTTTGGAAGAAGAGGACTACAGTCAACCCATTCAACATAGACTCGTCGATCACTGATTGTCAGGACGACAATCTTGAGGAGGAGGGGGGGGGGCAGTGTTACGTCCGTCCCTGTGTACTTCGTCCCTGCGAGTCGTCTGCGGTAGTTAATCCTGAATTTGCTGTTCCCGTTTCTAAGAGTTGTTTCCCGAATACGTCGCTAAGGGAGTTGTTTAGAAAACAGCAACCGACATTGAGAGAGCCGCCATCTTGAGTTTCGCGACGGTGGTGATTCCGAGCGGACGTATTGACTGATTTATGAGATTATCTGTCCTGTGCTTTGTGTTCTGTGTTCTAAGCTGTTATTAAACTTTTTTTTGTTCTCTTTAATAAAAGGGTTCTTTTATTACGACGTGGAGCGCAAGTGTGAGTTGTGTGTTACGCGTTTCAATATATATCGAAGTCGTCGCGCGAGCGTAACAATATATATGTATGTATATTTGCCCCTTCCAAAATATATATATTAATATTAATATAAATATTGATGTTTTTCTCTGATACTTTTTGTATTATAAAAAATAAATGAGATATTTAAGATGCTCAAGTTAGATAAGACATTCTGTATACATTATGTCTGTTATATATATATGTATATTATCATAAAATAAGCATATTTACCCGCATCAAATGGTACGCTGAAGACGAAACTTTCTGGCTCTATAGAGTGTTGATCCACTGCGCGTTTGTACCACGATGAATCCATGGCTCTCGCATGCTTTTCCGCGAATCGCCTGCATTTAAGTGGTCAGAAAGCCAACCACATTTAATTAATTATATCAGTTCAATATTAGTTATCTAATAACTGTTGTTTCCCAATTTTTGGATCAATAATTTAGAATATTGTTTTATCTATGCAATTCTTAATATTTATCCGATATTGTTTTTATTATTAAAAATAAGCTCACGGTTCATCAGTGCTGTCATCGTTTTGCTGATGCTCATGCCATCTCAGGAGTCCACTTCTGGTTGCGATGAAACTTCTAGTGACGCCAAATCTACCCTTGCCTTGACTGCAATTGTACATAATAAGCTATGAAAATAGTATTTTAGGTAAAATAACAAATATGCCACCGCGGTACACGCAATTATTTGCATGTCCAAAGCCGAATATCAAGTCAAACTAATCGTTTTAATTGTGATTTGTGAAGCAATTTTACAGCTACAATTCAGTAAATATTGACAAAAGAAGACCCAACTCCGATGACTTTGACCTTGACATATGTTGTCAAAATCATCACTCTGAGCGACCTCAAAAAAGTTTTAACCATTATTTATCAATTATTAAAAAGTTAACTAACAAAAAATTATGAAAATTAAGGTTTGAATGTAGACTAACACACACACACACACAAACGCGCGCGCACGCACACATAATGAAGAATTTCATATTGGACACAGTTTATATGGAAATTCCTAAGTATACTATACATGTATACTTACCGAACATGCGCAACACTTCATATAGTATATTCAAAAATGTCAAAGATTAAAAAATGTATGTATGAGAAAAAAGAAGTTTCACATGGGTTTGTAACATTTCGTACGAAGCAAAGTTTACTCCACATTAGCCAGTACTTAAATGTAATAAACCCATGAGTGTACATAAATTCTACATTAGATATATACATATTTGTATATTTAAATGAATGTCTGCGTGAAGAAAGGATTTCACCCCTTTCCCTGCACTCCCACACCGAAAACTTCTCTAATTTAATTCAAACCTATTTCGGATTTGAAATTAAATAAACTCATGTGTGCATACGTGTGCATGTATACAGAGTGTAACAGAGCGCCCGTATCAGCAGTTTTTTGAGAAAACAACGCATTTTCGTGAAAAATGTTTCATGCAAAAGTTGTAGAGCTCTAAGTGGCGCATTATATAATAATATTAGTATGACTTTGAATAGCACCGTCAAGGTGACATGAAAATCACTTTGAATTTTTTTAATGGAACCTCCTATTTTTCATTACATATTCTTATAGCTTACCTCGAGAGCTTTGATGATAAGCTATAAGAATATGTAATAAAAAATGGGGAGTTCCATTTAAGAAAACATCGACCACATTGACCTCAGCTTGAAAAGACCACTTAAGGTCAAATCCATATTTTTATCATGTGGCCCCCTCGAAACCATGCAACTTTTGTTTGTAACATTTTTTGATATCTCACTTCGTTTCCGAAAAATATGCCCGCGTCACTATAAATGCCGCACCCTGTATATGTATAAAGAAAGAGACAGAGAGATTTAATACAAAAATTCAATATTATATATAATTTTTATAAGCATTATTATCTATATATTCTCTCCCTCTCTCTCCCTCCCTCTATACATATACACATGTGTACATGCAAAATTTCAATTTCAATCAGAAATAGATTTGGGTTAGGTTAAAATTTTTTCTTGTGAATGCAGGAGAAAAGACAAAGTTCCTCCCCCTCTACCCACACATTCATCACTTAAATATGCGAATATGCAGCAAATGTAGAATTTATACTTATTAATTTATTACATTTTTTTATTAACAACTTTTGTGTGTACGTATGTGCGTATGTGCGTGTGTGCGTGCGTGTATGTGTGTTTTTCATGGCCACTTTGTTAGAATCTTGCTTCGTAGGAAACTTCATTTATTAATTGCTTTTGAATAAACAATGAGCGACAATTAAAACCTTTTGGGGGTTACTCAGAGTGATGACCCTGATAACATATGTTAAAGTCATCAAATTTGGGTTTCTTTTTGTCAATATTTACCTACAGTTCTTGTAAGCTGTTTGTTAAAATGAGAAACCAAGTACGAGATAAAACAAAAGTTACAAAACCGTCGATATATTCGAGATATATACGCGACATTCGAGATTCTTCATATTCTTAAAAAAAAACTATCAAGTTTGTTGTGTTTAGCATAATTTAGTAATTTTTGAATTTAATTGAAGACAACGAGATATATATTATTATTTATTATATAAATACGTGCAAAAAGACGCAGCTATGTATTTTGCTTGTATTAAATATCACTGCATCAGTAATTGTATACAGAATGTCTCGTGATGGTAGAATCGGAAAAAATCATTTCTTATTGAAAATTGACGCATATTGATACAAAATAAATAGTTACAGTGATCATTTTTTCTTGAACCCTATATTTTTAAGATTGACATAACACATTTAATTTCTGACAATGAACTAACATGGAAGTCTATAAACATAGTGATTCTATAATAAATATAGTAAGTATAGACATAGTAAATACAAACATTTACTGTTCTACTGTTCTAAAAAGGGCGCAATATTTAAAAAATGTATTTAACTCTTTTTAGGGCTCCTGATCCCTTATTGACGTCATATTGAAATAATATTAGAAACAAGAAATCGACTTGACCAAAATTGACAGCTATTTATTAATTTACGAATTAAAAAAAGTTTTTGGCATATTTTACTAATCCATATTATCGAACACGAATAATGGTCGCATCCCAAAAAAACTTATTTATTTTGATATATGTATAATATTTCGCAAGAAAAAGAATTCATATGATTTCTCACTTCTGACGTCATAATTCGATAGCTGCAGTGAAGAGTCTTAATTCGACTCTAGATGAGAAAGAGGCTAAATTCTCTCATCAAAGCTTTCTTCCTATTCATAATATCTTAATCGAAATGCGCAGTCTATACTTATTATATTTATGAATGATTTAGAGACGACTTCTTCTTGTTTTTATTTTGTTTCGGACTAATTGTGTAAAAAATTAATGGATTGAAAAGAATCGATAAGAACTCATTGTATGAAATTGCATTTACTAAATAAATTCCTATTGATTTCTTTTGTCTCGCTTATATTTATTCACAGCAGAATCTTTCCGAAAATGAGGAGACTATAGTCGACGGCTGCCAAACATTCATTTTAGCTCGTATACTGACTATAGTCAACGATTAAAGATTCTTCATCATAGCTATTTAATGTTAAGATTTATAACTTTATCTGCGGGTGTGTATCTTATACATATTTTATTAAAATTAAATCTCTCACAACCGACCCATACACGCGTGCGACATATAAACGAAATTTTTTCTGATATTGTTTAATTTTCCAAATATTTTACTAGAGCATTTAAAATAAGAAATCATATACAGTAAAGTCTCTCTTTAAATTTGGCCCTGTTAATTTTGGTACCCCTTTACACGTACTTTCACAAACACTAATAACTAATGTCGCGCTTCATCATCCATGTCATAACGAGCTCGCTAGGTAATGGCGCACGCGCAAATACGGTAAAACGGCAATTGGATAGCATCGTGTTGTAAGTCCGTTACCTCCCTCTGAACGGGAGTAAACGTGTTTTCGTGGATTCTTTATTCGGACCAAAATTGTTGCCATTTGTCTCTTAAGAGATTGACAAGGAAATTTTATTCCTTCAAAATAATTCCACGACTCACAGGGAGCTTTCACAAACCGGCGTATGAACAACTTTTTCGGAAGTAGTCATAAAGAAAAAAAAAGCTTCACATTGTGGTGAGGGTATTATTTCTTCTTTTCCAAAAATTTTGCGCTCTTCTCGCCCCATAGAGTCAAAATTAACGAGACTCCACTATATATACAGAGAATACAAGATATTGAAAACAAAGAGTTCAAAACTTATAGAATACATAGTACTCATTAATGCAGTAGTAGTACTCATAAATCCAGTAAAAAATGCGTAGTAGATAGAGATAAAAAATAGATTGAAAAATAAATTCTGTCAATGTTATAAGCAATTTTTAGTTTTGGTGCAAAATAAAATTAATTCGTTTGCTTCTATTTATTGCATGTGATGTTCAAACAGGATTATCTTACACACATTCTCACTATGATGTTTCCAACAGATATTCTACATATTAAATATTCTTCTTCTATTTGCACGCATGCTTGACATTTTCATATCCCAAATTGCAAATTATTTTAAAAATTTCTAAATTTCTTCAACTTGACAAATATTTTGAATTTACTGATATAAACTTTTTGTATAAATAGATAGATGCAGAAGAATGTAGAAAAGTGGAAACAATATATTATAAACATAAGATAAAATATGTAAAATTGTTTTTCGTGTTCAGACCGCATGCGATAAATTGAAACAAGCAAATCATTTGCTTTGCCAAAATCGATTATTTTTCGATTATGTTTATTATAATGTAAGCGTACTCGATTCAGTGTGTATATCGGCGTGAGGGTGTCTGTGTGTGTCTGTGTACGCGTCTCTCTCCCCCTCTCCCCCTTTCCCTTCTTTCTCTCCCTCTTCCCCTCCCCTTCCCTTCCTTCCCGCCCCTCACCCTCTCCCTCCCTTCCCACTCTTT